TTCTTTAACATATATGACAAGAACAATGTCTGTTCTAGAAAACTGATGTGTAGGCGCACTTACATTACATTCATTAACTTCTTTACTTCCGACTCATTTGTGGCTTTCATATCGAAAGAGATGGGCAAACAATTTTGCTCTTTCCGTGTTCTTGCAAATTTCAATCATATTATATGTTCAATAACAAGCAAACAAAAACTCTTCACACTATATCACCTCTGCCGTAATTGGCTGCAGCATTGGGCACTAAGATTAAACGGCATGGCTATTTCTGGCTACTACTAGCTTGGGTTCTGACTCCTTTTCAATTCTACCCAACGGCAATCCGAACCACCATCGCCCATATTGTATCGTGAAAACTCTAACGTCTTATTTAAAAGCTAATTTTCTTCTGCGCTTTTCTCACTGCATACGGAGTCACTCAGACGTTACTTTGCACTGACTCATTTTAGGGGCGAAGCTCCTTATGGCGTGGCTTGTGCGTCCCCCGTTGTCGTAGTGCGTAACCTGTGGCACATACCCGCATACCACTGGAACGTACCCGCCCTCGGGCACATATCCGCATGTCCACATGTTACGAAAAACGTAGCACGGCGTCGCTATCACGCTCTCGGTGTTAACAAAGCGCTTCATCAGAAATGTAGTATGCATATACTCTGGTTTAGTCCTTTGATTGTCCGCCGGATGGCAGTACTTGTATATGATCAATATACAATAAAAAGAAGCAAGATAGTAGTACTCGAAGTGTTCACTTGATGGACGGACGGATGGACGAACGGACTCATGCACAGACGGACGGATGCACGAACGGACGCACGAACGGGCGAACGTACGGATGTATGGACTGACGCATGTACGCATGAACGAGCGCACGTACGGACGGACGGACGCATGGAAGGAAGCATGGACGGATTGATGGACGCTTCGCCCCACTCATCATCATTCATTCTGCGGATATGCTGTGGTTTTTTTAAATGCGAATGCATTTCTTACTTCTGTATTCAGAAACGCTGCTTGACTTGAACTTGACTTTCCACCGTCACAAATGCAGCACAAACGCGTTTCGAACGCGCTTTCTTTAGGCGGCGCCAAGGCAGCTCAAACACACAGACACGTTTCAAACACGCTGCATTGAAGGCGGTTTTAGTCAAGTTCAAGTCAAGGAGCGTTTATGAATACGGGGTTAGTCGGGCTATGAAGGCATCTGGTGTTATCCGCGGTGGTGTCCGCGCCCTGGCAGGTGTTATCTCTGTGTTCTCACTCCCTCTTCCGTAGCAACAGCTGCGGGCGCGCACGCTTATCCTCGCCCATAGCAACCGGAGCATGTGGTGCGATCGTGGGTAGAAGAAGGTAGGAACAGTGCTTCGCCGCTCCTTCTCTCGGCGTTAGCTCTCTATCCTCCCTGCGCCCCACTCTCCCGTCCGCTCGCACCTCACTCTCGACGGTTCGCTGGCTGGGCGCCTCTTGAGAACATCCGGCAATGTGTTTTCGAGACGCCACTGTGAAACGCCAACGCAAAGCCTAGTGCGCTAGCACCCCACTCTCCCGTCCGCTTGCTCCTCACCCTCGACTGTTCGCTGGCTGGGCGCCTCTCAAGGCGATGGGCAGAAGTCCGTGAAGGTGAATGTGTGACGGCACACTTTTTTGTAATGTGTAGATGTTCAATCATTGCATTGAATTTGATGATGCTGGAATGAACAGGCTTGCACACGAATAGGGTGGATGGCAGGTAGCTGCCGCACCCACTCAAATCATCTAAAGGAGGGCGCCAATTCTGCCCCACACCTTTGCCCAGTCGGACCTTGCCCGTCATCTTCTTAATGCATACGCGTGCTCTTTCACGATAATGTCGACCGAGGAATCCCTATTTTGCGTTCAAGGATTTGTTTATTTCCTTTATTATTATTATTATTATTATTATTATTATTATTATTATTATTATTATTATTATTATTATTATTATTATTATTATTATTATTATTATTATTACATTCTTTCTCATTCGACAAATGGAAAGAGGAGGCCTTGTTCCCCTTCTCTCCCCCCCCCCCTTGGTTGTGAACATTGTGCATGCATATGCTGGAGTGTGCACTGGCGCCAGCAGTTGACGGCTGCGCAGCTTTCCCGCGGTTGATTCGGTCCGAATGACGATGGGTTGGCTTGATGGCGGGAGTACGGCATGTTCGAAATTTCAAATTGAAAGCAGATAACTTCGCGCGCGAACGTTGGCGCTTTTGCTATTTCCCTTCGCGCAAATTTCGAGCACCATGTCTGTGTTTCGTTGGTGTTTCGTTCGCAGCAGCGGATCCACGTAATTTCATTTCTTTTTTTGCAGATTATTGTAGTGTAGGCTTGTATTGGTTTCTCTTCTATCGGCGTGTACTTCTAGTCGTTTCTAACGTTTGACTTCGCCAATGAGGTGTTGCTGGAGTCACATCACGTCACTTCTCCTCAATTTATTAAAATGGCTAAATCCCTCGTTTATCCCATGCACAGTTCAATCCACGTACATATCAGCGTAGTGATCATTTGCCCATTACCTGTGTACTGAGCACGCGCTGTTCGAGGCGACTCGAGCTGCGGGAAACGTACCGGCGAATAGAATGCCGAATCGCGTGCGCCGGCAGCCAATGAAAAAAAAAGAAAAATAAATAGCGAGACAGGGTGAGGGAAAGGGTGGTGAGTGGAGTGGGTAAAGGTGACGGCGATGGAGCAAGATAAAAACACCGCCAAAAGTCGTCGTGTTTCCCTGCATATGCGCCGGAGACTACACGACACCAGAGCCGCGTAATGCGAGATGCCCAGCCTCACAAACACGCCCACCCACGACTACAACCACTGCCTGTTCGGCCACTGTTCGGACGGACACGAGCAAAAAGTAAATATTTCTTTTTTTGCCCTCGTTTTCATCTAGTATGCAGTCTCCTCTCTCTATGCGAATAGTTATAACAAGTCCTCTACCTTTTGCAGCGTTGGTTCGTTGTCCGTGGAATTCTTCATTTTGGCACATAGCCGTTGGCCTTTGATTTGTTTCCGCCGTGAGAGGAGGGGTGGATGAAAAGATAACGAGGTGAATTAGGGAACATGAAAAAAAATAAAGGACTCCTCGCCGTGAAACGCGATACAGGCACGCGCGCTTAAGGGCGGACTGAGGGGAGGAGGGAGGCAGGGTGGAGAGGGGGTCCCGTCCCAGACAGTGGTGGAACACAAGTTCGGAAATTAAAAGGACCTTCTCCGATTTCTCGTGCGGCCATGCCTCGGCTGGTGCTGCTGCTTCATGTGTTCGACTCGAACATTCCCCTCGTCACTGTGCTCTAATTAAAGGAGAAAAATCAGAAAAATCGGCGTTAATGTCGACGGGAATGAAGAAAGAAACTGTATATGGTCGCCGGTCGAGGAGGCATGAAAAGGCAAGCTAACGAGGAAGAAAAAAATAAGGTATACAAAAACAATTTTCCCCCAAGAAACAGAATGCATACGTTATTTTTATTATTGTTATTCCATTGCGCCTCATTCTGAATCCGAGACTGCCTTCGTCACCGGACACGGGTGTGGAGAGGAGGGCGTCGGTGGTGATGAAGTTTCGCAGCCCCGCCATTTCCCCACACAGTGTGCTTCGTTCTCTCTTCATTTCTCTATATTACCGTTTAGAAATTGCGAAAGTTTAACGTTTCTTCTGTATGTTGATTGTTTTGCGTAATAGTCGTTATCCCCTTCGCTATCGGTGAACAATGATGAGGACACAATGGAACTCTGACGTCAATCATGAGGGATTCGATAAGAGTCGGGATTTCGCAGGCCTGAAGGCACTGCTAGGGTATGATATGAATGTCAATAACTTCTCCAATTTCGAAAGACGAAAAAAAACAACACTAACCCCCGTATTCTGGAACGTCCCTTCACTCAACGCTACACCTTCACTTGAGAAAGCCGATGGGAGCGCCGTCTCTAGGCACGGAGGGTCACTGCGTATCAGCGATAATCTGCTGCGATTCTTGAGTAGCGCAGCGTCATATTCAGCCGAGTGGTGGCGCAGTGCTCAACTCTGTCAAGTGAAGGGTGGAAGTCGAGTGGAGGAGCGTTTGTGAATACGGAGGGTAAGTGTCTTAACCATAGAAACGCCAGGAAAGGACGAGGAGAGGAGACAGAAACCACAGAAAAGTATTGTGGTTGTGCGGTACCTACGATATGCGATATCGTGAAATGCAACAATCTCAAGCGACTTACGAATCATTCGTTTTGCGTACAGAGGTTAGTAAGGGGCTACTAGCTGTCACGGCTCCCCCCTGGTTCAATAATTACATACGCGCGCACGGGTCGTATATTCACGCGCTCAAGTATGATCGTTGATGCCTAAAAACTTCCTTGACAATCACGGAGCAGTTCGTGATGTTGCTGCGGCCCTGAGAAACAGTAAATGAAAACGTGCGCCAGCTTTCGTTTGTCGAATGCAAATTTTCCGTCTTTTCTGGTGATACGAATTTCGGATGATGCGAATATTTTGGGTCACCCTGCGAGATTCGTATCACCAAGGTTTTACATGTTACGCGTCAGGTACGTAAACGTATTCGAGCAAGCGAAGGACCCGTATGAGAGGGCTCAAAACAGTTTTGGATCGAACGTGACGCATTCAAAACCCGCGCGCCGCCGTTTTAAATTTGCGCCACTCGCAATCGCGACGAAGATCTTCGAGGCCCTGTTGTTTTGTTGGTAGTTGCCACGCGGCGCCACGACGCGGCGCCACAAAAGATCCTCTCTTTACCCGTATTAGTAGCAGACGACGCCGACTGCAGCGTCCCCGTGACGCACGCTACATCCGGTTCGCAAGCTCGGCGTCGTCTGCCGCGCGCACCGTTCGCGCTTCGAGGAGCGGCAGCGCTAAAATCGAGCGCGCCGTCCTGCGCGATGGTGGCAGGCGCCGTGTTCCCTAGTGGTGCGTGCGTGTGCGTCTCGAGCTGCTTCGTGCCGCGAGTGTTCTCATCGTAAAGAAAAAGGGGGGAGGTGCGACGGTGTCTTCTCTTCGTCGGCGCGGTCGCGCGACCGAAGAAGCAACCCGTTCGACGGCCTCGGTGAAATGAGTGCCGGCGCCGCGGGCGACAGCAAATCGTCAGCGTCGTCCAAGCGACGCCCCAAACACCGCCGTCCGCCACCGCAGCCACCGCCGTCGACGACGACATCGGCGGCTAGGGTGAAACCGGAACACGTGGACGACATCAAGGTAGGCTGCATTTCACGCATTCGGCCTCCCCGCTCCCGGAGTCGTTTATTTTCTGCTTGGCGCAGTTTCGAGCGTAAGACGAGACTCCGCGCATCGGACTCGGCGGGTTCCCACCGCTCAATGTCGTATATAGCACACGTGCGTTTCTGAACTCACACCCTCACACTCCTTCGCCGGCGCGCGTAGGGCACGTCTCTTCTGGTGAAGTGCATCCGGTCGCCTGTCATATATAACGTTATTCTTTCGTTGGATGCGGTAACAAGAAACCTTAGAATAGTGTACGGAAAGTTTTTGCGTTACTGTTTTTCGCCACTGCGCATGCGTCATACGTCATCCTCACGGGCACCCACGCCAAGTGACGTGAACCATAGAGTCTGCTGATATACACTAGAGGGAACTCTGGCGCTAGTGTCTATGGCAGCTGCAACGCACGGTGCTTCAGTGAGGATGAGAATGATGGGTAGTACACACATTTGTCTAAACTTCGTACTTCTGGCCTGCTTTTGGCTCCGTGTGTGTTCGTGTGGCTTGAAGCTGTTTTCTCACGAAAGAAAAATCAGCAAATGTTCAGCGATTGCGCTTCACCGCTTATTTTTTTTTTTTTCGAATTACCTTTCCAAGTTGGGTCACGAAGTTCAAAAGGGTTGAATCTTTCTTTCAAAACAAAATCGAAACACAGCAATAAACAAAGCCGCAAGTACGATTCGCCGCCCGCAAGTACGAAGACTAGGCAAATGTGTGTACTACCCATCATTCCCATATTCGCTGAACGATCGCAGCGCCAGAGTGCCCTCTAGTTAATTTTGAGAAACTCTATGACGTGAACAGCCTATGTACGCAACGAACGCTATCTTTGCGTCTCCAGTTGAAAACCTGCCGAATGACGTGAGATGGCGGTGCGAACACTGAGGTTATGTGAGTTTCGCGGTTGTGTATCCGAGGAGGAGGAGGAAAGAACTTTATTCAGAGTCCGGCGAGTAGATGGGGTGGGCGATTGGCCCCGCCTAGGTTACGGCCAGGAGTCCTTGAATCCTGGCGGCTTCCTCGGCCCGCTGGACGGCCCATATTTGGTCTTCGAGGACGGAACTGAGCATTGCGGCCTCCCAGCGCACGCGAAGGCTGTCAGCAGAGGCCGCATACTTGTTATGAGTACTAATCCCTCTACATTCCCATAACATATGCTCCAGAGTGGCTCTGGAGTCGCAACGCTTGCACCTGTCCGTTTTGTATATATCAGGATATATAATGTGCGATAGTGCAGGATTCGGATATGTCCTAGTTTGTAACTGCCGCCATTCGACAGACTGTCTTTTTGTTAATTTTGGGTGAGGTGGCGGGAATATGCCCCTCTGTAATCTATAATGCTTTGTAATTTCATTGTATCTGGTCATTCTGTCTTCCCACTCCCACTCGTCTGCCACGCCGTAATCACCGGAGGAGGCTGGGGCGGCACTTGAGAGGGCAGCTCGGTCGGTGAGCCCTCGAGCTGCGTCATGTACAGCCCCATTGTTGCTGTCCCCCGCGATGTCATGAGCAGGTGTCCATATAATATATGTATTTCTGGGGCTTGTTCGACACCCTCCTTTGATAATACGTAGTGCCTCCGGGGAGATGCGGCCGTTGGCAAAGTTTCTCACTGCCGTTTGAGAGTCACTGACTATCACGGTTGCGTTTGTCTGAGCTACAGCGAGCGCTATGGCTACCTCTTCCGCTGTCTCGGTACTTGTGGTGCGTATCGTCGCGCATGTCATACAGCGTTTGTTGCTATCGATTACGGCTGCGGTAAACCCCCGTTTGCGCTTGTATCGAGCAGCGTCTACGAAAACTGCGTCCTTGTCATTACCAAACTTTTTTTGTATTTGTTTTGCTCTTGTCTCTCGTCTAGCTTTATTGTGTTCGGGGTGCATGTTTTTTGGCAAGGGTGGTATCATCATTGTTTCCCTGGTCTCTTTTGGAATGTCCACCTTAACGCCGTGTTGCGTGTGATACGTTATACCTAGTCGCTCTAGAATATGTCTTCCTGCTCGTGTCTTAGAGAGACGTTCATATTGCGCCGTACGCTGCGCCTCAATAAGCTCATCTATTGTATTGTGCAGGCCTAACTGTAACAGTTTGTCGGTGCTTGTGCTAATCGGTAGCCCTATAGCTAGTTTGAATATTTTTCGAATGAGGCAGTCTAGCTTGATCTTTTCCGCGACTTGCCATTTTAAGTATGGCGCTACGTATACTATTCTGCTAATCACGAATGCCTGTATCAACCTTATCGTGTTTTCCTCCCGCATGCCACTGTGCTTAGTTGCTATCCTTTTTATGAGTCTCATTATTTGGGCTACAGTTGCATCCAATCGCCTGAGGATTTCTCCATTGTTGCCCTTGGCTTCGATGAGCAGACCCAGTACTCTGATCCTGTCGACTATGGGTATGGTTTTTCCATCGGCTGTTCTTAACTGTATTTCTTCTCTATGAGCAAGACCTTGCAGGCAGTTGCCTGGTTTGCGACCTCTACGAGTAGGTCTGTACAGCAACAGCTCTGATTTTTCCGCAGAGCAGGCTAGCCCAGTACCTTCCAGATACCGCTCGACCGTTTCGACTGCTGTTTGAAGCGTTTCCTCTATTTCGCCATCACTACCACTTCTCACCCATAGGGTGATGTCATCTGCATATATAGTATGATTCAGTCCTTCGATTGCTTGGAGTTTGGTTGGCAGTCCAATTAGAGCCAGATTGAATAACATAGGTGATAATACCGAGCCTTGCGGCGTACCTGCACTGCCCATCTCAATTTCCTCTGAAACTAGGTCCCCTATCATGATCTTTGCCTTCCTTCCCGTCAGGAAATTACGCACGTAATTGTACGTCCGTTGTCCCAGATCTAGATCGTTTACCCTTTTTAGCACCGTTGCATGGGTTACATTATCAAAGGCCTTCTTGAGGTCTAACCCTAGAATGGCCTTTGTCGCTGTTCCCGGATTATCTATAATCTGATGTTTTAACTGTAGCATTGCGTCTTGCGTTGAGAGGTTCCTCCTGAACCCTATCATTGTGGGTGGAAGCGCATCCCGGTCCTCTAGATAGGTAGTTATCCTCTCCAGAATCACGTGCTCCATGAGTTTCCCCACGCAAGATGTGAGAGATATGGGTCTCAAGTCCGCAATCTGCACTCGCTTGCCTGGCTTGGGTATTAACACGATTTTTGCCGTCTTCCATTGTTGCGGAATCTGTCCTGCCTTCCATGATTTGTTAATGAATTCAGTTAACTTAGTTATGGACTCGTCATCCAAATTGCGTAGCGTTTTGTTAGTTATGCCATCTGGTCCAGGTGCTGATCTAGTATTGAGTTTTAGCAAGACGGCCCTCACTTCTGCCTCCCCGATCTCGTTGTCTAAATCATCATTTGCTAGCCCTGTGTAATCAGGGTGTGTAACGGGAAGCGCTTGAGAGATGTATGTTTTCTTGATTTCATTCAGAAAATCCTGCTCTGTACCTTGATATCTTTGTATTAACCGATTAATATTGTGCCTTTCTGCCAACTTGTTTCCGTCCGGGTTTAACAAATGTCTAAGGATGGTCCACGTTTTCGCCATTCCTATCTGGTTGTCCATGTCATTGCACTTTTCCTCCCACTGTTGTCTGCACAGCTGCTGGGCGTATTGCTCTATATCTCTGTTCAATTTAGCTATCTTTCTACGAAGTGTCCGGTTGTGCCTTTGGTTTTTCCACCTCCGTTGTAAACCTTCCTTAGCTTCCCACATGTGGAGAAGCTTATTGTCTACATACTCTAGCTGCGCTTCCGGTGGCACCGTTTGCGTAGCGGCCTCCACGTCTCGTTTTAACTTTTCGGTCCATTCCTCAATACTCCGTATCATTTCGTCGGGCTCCTCTCTGATGTTTCGGAACTTGTCCCAATCGACAAGTTTAAGTTGTCTGCCTTTTGCCTTCCGCGGCCCTGCCCTCACCGTTATTTCAAGTATAAAATGATCGCTTCCCAAGTCATGTTGCGTATTGGTCCATTGCGTGTCCAGTATATTTTTGGTGAACGTCAAATCTGGCGTGGTATCCGCGCAAACGCTAGTACCTGTTCTTGTAGGAATGGATGGATCGGTCACGAGCGTCAGGCCCTCCTCCTGTGCGTCCAACCACAAGTTCCTGCCTTTCTGGGTTTCGATCCTGTATCCCCATGCACCGTGTGGGGCGTTGAAATCTCCTCCAATCACTAGCGCCCGGTTGCCCGTTATAGCGAGGGTTTTTCGAAACAGCGTGCGGAATTTGTGCTTTCTGCATTTAGGACTGCTGTAAATATTCAATACGAAAAGACTGTCCTCTGTTTTTCGCGTGGGTATGAGTTCGAGGAGAATGTGATTTATTGCCTTGATTTCCGTGTCATGTTGCACCACCGCGTGATTTCGCTTAACCAACGTTGCTAATACCTTTGTCTCCCCATCAGCACTGCCGAATGACTTATATCCCGACAGTTTGACCAGCCCGTGCGTTTCTTGCACCATTATAACATCCGGGGTGCTGGTGTCTTTAAGATGTTGTTGCAAAATGTATCGTTTTCGATTATATCCTCGACAATTCCATTGCCAAATCGTGTAGCTATTTTGTCTGTCCATGGCGGCGTTACAGGCTCTCTAATCCCTCGGTGGGCACCGAGGTCCTAGCGTACGGTTTAAAAGACGTCTTAACTGGGCCCCCACCACTTGACTGCGATCCCCATATTGCTAGCTTGGCGTCGAAATCAGCCACCATTTGCTGCACTTTCTGCAATATCGTCTTGCCTAGCTCCTCAATTTTGGCCTCTATGTTTGCCTCAAATCTAACTTCTTGTTGTTCGAGCTTAGTTTGCAATTTTTTTTCAATTTGTTCCATTTTGGCTTCCATGGTGTTTGCGAATTCCTCCTGTCTTTCTTGTGGCGTCGCCACTGCTTTTGGTTTCTTTACCACGCTTTTAATCGGAGCGTTCTCTGGTTTACGTTTAACAGGGGTGAGGGCTGCTACCT